CACCACTCGGCCAGCCCTGGCAATGGTTTTTAATGGTTTTGATACAACATCAAAAAGCACAGAGACAAAGGGAAAAATAGATGAATTGAATTTCATCAAAATTTAAAAATTTTGTGTCTTAAAGGGCACCATCAAGAAAGTGAAAAGACAACTCACAGAATTGGGGAAATTATTTGCAAATCATATATCTGATAAGGGCCTAGTATCCAAAATATATAAAGAACCCTTACATCTTGTATTTGTTTCCTAGGGCTTCTGTAACTAAAGTATCATAAGCTGGATGGCGTGAAACAACAGAAATGTATTCTCTGCTAGTTCTGGAGACTAGAAGTCCAAAAGCCAGATGTTGGCAGGGTTGGTTCCTTCTGGAGGTTCAAGGAAGAATCTTTTCCATGCCTTTCTCTTAGCTTCTGGCATTGCCAGCAATCTTTGGCATTCCTTAGCTTGTGGATACATCACCCCAGTCCCTCCCTCTGTCACTGCATGGCCTTCTCCCTCTATGTCTCTGTCTTCACTTGGCATTCTCTGTGCATGTGTCTTCTCTTATAAGAACACCATTCACATAGGATGAAGGGCCCACCTGACCCCAGTATGACCTCATCTTAACTAATCACATTTGCAACAACCCTATTTCCAAATAAGTTCACATTCTACTAAGGTACTAGGGGATTTCAACATATCTTTTGAGGGGGTACAATTTAACTCATAATACAAAACAAGAACAAAAAGACAAACCAATTTTAAAAAGATGTGCAAAGGATTTGAATAGACATTTTTCCAAAGAAGATATACAAATGACCAATAAGCCCATGAAAAGATACTCAGTGTCATTAGACATTGGGAAAACACTAATCAAAACCATGAAATTGCATTTTACACCCCTCGGATGGCTATAATCAAAAAAAACAATAACATGTCGGAGAGGATGTGGACAAATTGTAACCCTCATAGTGGCTGATGGGAATGTAAAATGGTGCAGCCACTTAGGGAAACAATTTGGAAGTTCCTCAAAAAGCTAGACCAAGTTACCATATGACTCAGTTCCACTCTGAGGTATGTACCCAAGAGAATAGAAAACATGTCCACACAAAACCGTGTGTGTGAATGTTCATAGCAGCGTTGTTCATGATTGCCAAAATGTGGTACATCCATACATTGGAATATTATTTGGTAATATAATGGAGTGGTAGTACTAATAAGTGCTATTATACAACATGGATGAACCTTGAAAACATTATGCTAAGCGAAAGAAGCCAGTTACAAAAGACCACATGTTATAAGATCCCATTTATATATAGAAATGTCTAAAATGGGGAAATCAATAGAAACAGAAAGTAATATTGGTAGTTGCCTAGAACTGAAGTGGTTGAGAGGAAATATGGGAGTGATTGCTAATGGATACGGGGCTTCTTTACAGGGTAATGAAACTGTTCTAAACTTAAGATTGTGGTGTTGGTTGCACAACTCTCTGAATATACTAAAACTATTGAATTGTGTACACTTTGAATGGGTTAATTTTATGGTATGGGAATCATGTCTCAATGAAGATGTTTTTTCAAAACCTTTCAAAACAGCCGATGTCTTGCCTTCTTTCCCAATAGAAAAGCAAGAGCTGGATCTCAGAAGATGACTTCTACCGGCCTCCCCAGGAACCACCCACAGAGAGCCCTTCACATGGCTCCGTAGCTTCTTCCAGAGGGTCTCCAGAGTCAAGGCCTGGTCTCCTCAGGCAGATTTCTCAAGGACCAAGAAAGAGCTCCTCCATGGGAGCCTTAGACAAGGCTTGTGTGCCTTCTCCAGAAAGCGGGCAAAGCAAGGCAGCCGCGACGCAGGAGCATAAGAACTTCCGGGTGGTGCACCGCCGGCAGATGGGTAGGTGACAGCAGAGTTCCAGGGTGGTCTCACTGCAGGGGCACTGCCCGGCAGAAAGCAGTTCTGAAGTCCTCTTTTCCATTACCAGTTGGGTGGTGTCCGCTCACAGGAAAAGCCTCATCCCAAAATGTAATAAGGAGCACCCTTGCTGAGCAATTCAGGAAAGCATTGCGGGAAAAGGAGTACATTTTCTCATACAATCTTAATATCGTCATGCTCAAAATTGCCTACAGGGTAAAAAAAAAAATACTGTTTCATATATCGGAATGGAAAATATTTTTCCTGAAGCTACCCTAGAAATCTTATTTTACAGAACCCTTGATTC